GCACTTAGTAAACATTCATATTTTTTACACCATACCCGTGTATATTTACACTATCATCGGGTGTTATTTAATTTCGTACACAAGAATGGGCAAATTTACACCGTTGAGGGTAAATGTACAGCATATATAATAGGTGTTAATACTTCGGTTTCAACTTTACACCACATCTGAGTATATCTTAAAAAGTTAGTGTAATGATACACCAGGAAAAGTGTAAATTTACACTTTGCAAGGGTTGGCATATTTTACCCCAAATAAGCTACCTCCTCCGCATGCAGGTCTTTCAAAAAAATAAAATTGGTACGAAACGAACTAATTTCCCAAAATGGCGGGAGCCACAAACCAAATTATATTCAGTGTATCATTTTATTAAAGTCTTTAACTACTTCATGATATAGACCGCTTTTCGTATCCGCAATATACATAAAAACAGTGAACACTGAACAAACAAGCATATATAATGATTTATAAGGAGAAGCAGATAAATATCAGTTTATAATTTGCATATTACAAACACGCAGCGCTTTTATGTAACACGTCGTATGTCAGGCATGCGGCCGTTTATCCACGAAATTTATTCCATTTATATTTGTCTTTTATACAGTGTAACTATTGAAATGCGTGTGTATATAGTCAAAACATCCCATTTGGCCAAATGACAGATTCAGAACCATTCTCGTACCCAGAGCCCTTCTTACGCGCGGTGCGACGAGGGCTTCTGGCCAAATCCATAACCGGATACCATAAAAACATGGTAAGAAAACAATGTCCGGCGTTAGAACTACCAATCAGATGCCAGTTTGGAATATGGATTTGGCCAGAGCCCCTCGTCGCACCGCGCGTAAGAAGGGCTCTGGGTACGAGAGTGATTCAGAACGTCTATTATCACTGCCGCTTTTGCTTGTAAAACTTTTCATTATTTGAATCTTCTCGTAGCTTTTATCAGCCTAACTGCTAAGATGTATTCAGAAGATCTTAGAAAATACTCGCAAAACGGGTTGCTAAAGATTGGCAGACGATGTGCCATATTTTTGAAGATTTTTTATCCAACCGAGTAAGCGACACTATAAGCCAAGTAATCGACATGTTATTCAGCAGGCCTTACAGCTACGAAATTCTTCGCAGACTAGTCCCAAGTCCTCTGTGCACGCTTTTGATTTCCGTGACGTCACCGAACGAAACGCAGGCGAGAGGCCTAGCACAAATTGTTTTCTAGCCTGCAAAGCAAACGCTCGCGAGCTTGGTAAATCCCGTAAATGTTTTCCAATATGGCGGAATTCCAGAGTATATAAAATTGTATAAACCACAGCGGCCCAATCTTACCCTGTGTTATTAATTTATTACGTTATATCTTTATATAATAGTATAATGAAAAGCCCTTACATGTGTTTCCTGAAAGATTTTAACGAAAACCGGCCAAGATTGGCGTTGACAAAAGGTTAACGGCCATAGTTGGGGTTGACATGAGGATTAACAGCAAGAAGTAATACAAGGCTGGTCACTTAATTTGACCGTTAATTGGACTAATTGGGATTGACCGTTAATTGGATTAATTGGGACAAACGCTGATAGAAATCAATCGAATAACGCGAACTTCGGCTGTCGCATCGTCGCCAAATTACGTTACATCGGAAGAGCGATAATTTTTACATAATATACTTTTCTTTAACAGAATTGAATAATAATCTTCCTGCAGAAAATGCCAATTGAAACTTACAAATGCCTAATCTTCCGAGGTTTGTGATCGGTATGAATTCATGGCCTTCAAATTCGAATTACACGCTGCACTGTCATTCATGGTCGGCTTTCAAAACAACAACAGGACATTCGCAGAGGCCATTCGCTAACTCCCCAAACCTTCGCTCTCTTACCGGAAATGTCCTGTTGTTGTTTTGAAAGCCGACCAATGACAATGCAGCGTGTAATTCGAATTTGAAGGCCATGAATTTAGATCCATCACGAACCTCGGAAGACTAGACATTTGTAAGTTTCGATTGACATTTTCTGCAGGAAGATTATTGTTCAGTTCTGTTAAAGAGTCATTGTCAACCACAATGCATTTGTTTACATCTTAACTTCGGAAGTGACAAATAGCAACAAATGACGATTATAAACATTTCTTTGGTGCAATTTTAGTATAAAAAAGTAAAATGAGCAAGTATAACCATAGGATGGTAGTAATATATTATGGATTGAAAACCGAAACATATGACTATTCCGCCATTAAAATGGCTGCCAAGCCGGTTTGGGCGCACAATGCATTGTGGTTGACAATGACTCTTTAAAGAAAAGTATATTAGGTAAAAATTATCGCTCTTCCGATGTAACGTAATTTGGCGACGATGCGACAGCCGAAGTTCGCGTTATTCGATTGATTTCTGCCAGCGTTTGTCCCAATTAGTCCAATTAATAGTCAAAGTGACCAGCCTTGTATTATTTCTTGCTGTTAATCCTCATGTCAACCCATGCAACTATGGCCGTTAACCTCTTGTCAATTATACGCCAATCTTGGCTGGTTCTCGTTAAAATCTTTCAGGAAACACATGTAAGTGCTTTTCATTATACTATTATGTAAAGATATAACGTAATAAATTAATAACACAGGATTTTCTAATGATTTTCAATATACTATTTATATAAAGATATAACGTAATAAATTAATAACACAGGGTAAGATTGGGCCGCCTGTGATGAGAACGGCGCCATTTTCACAAGCCACTGATCTCAATACAGCAAGTGGGGACACTTTGTCCCCACTTTTGGCTCACTTGAAACATTTTAATCTAGGCCTCTCAGGAGCCGTCACCTCATTAATATGCAGAAACGCGAAATAGGCGTACTAAGAGGCCTAGGGACTAGGCTGAAGCCTTCTCAGGCATGTTAATGCCTGGGTCTGCCCACGCTTGGATGATATCTTGCGCGCGTGTTGCACGCGCGATCTGCCAGTAATGCGTCTGTTAGAATATTCGCCCCTTGTGTGAGTATTTTAGTGAATTCGGGCGTTTGCTTCAAATCAAAATATAGTATATATGAGCGACAGGATTATTTTGGAATATACAATGCAAAGAAGTCGATATACTATTCAGTTTTGATGTAATAATTGGCTCTTTGTACAGCAATAAGTATTGTATCATTTGCGACAGCTGACCTTTGAACTGCTGATAAATAAAAGCTTCTTATAGTGCGCTATCTTGCGGTTATTCAGTATTAATTGTTGACTGTTTCTTATTTTTAATGAAAAATAGCTTGTGAATTACAAATTAATATCACATTAACTATGCTTCAAGATATCGG